TGGAGGCAATCAGTATGTTTGCCTCTTCCAACATGCTCGGCAGGAACATATTGAAATGAGTGGGTCGCTGAGCTTGGTATCACAAACCTTACGATCATCACTGGATGATCCAACGCGACGTTTCTTCAAGACATGGACCCTTCACTTATCAACCTTTTCTTCTGACATCGACCGACTCATACTCTCTATGATTTACATTCCTGACACGAACACTGCTCACTGCACATGAACTTCCGAAGTAGCACCACGTCTTCCCCCAATCCGCTCCGGAAACTTTACAAAAACCGAATAGGCAAAGATGCCGAGGAGCGGGTTCGACACTCCCAGGCCTCTCGCATCAATGAAACGTGGTGGTCCAGATGTGATGGCATCCAATGTCACCATACGTACCCTGGCGTACCACACCTTCACCGACGGCGACGTCACTTCGGGCAGGACGCGTATATTGATTCGTACTGCCAGTACCTGACTGATGCGAGCGACCTTTAGGAACAGAGCTACTTCATGCAGATGGAGATCTTCAATGTGTCCTTTGATGCCATGGACAATCTGGCTGGCGCGCGGGTGAAGCTCCTGGAAACATTCTGGCATGGATGGAGATGATGTGACGGGCGTAGGTGTGGATACGACCGTGGGGACGACGTAACGGTAACGGCGATCCTGACGAAACCGATGGGGATACATCAGCCGGGAAAAATTTGGCTATCAAAACTGGCTGCAGCTCACCAAGCTCTAGCCAGTCTACGAAACCTGATAAGTGAAGCGAGGAATGAAGGTGATGAAGATTGTCACGTCAAACAAAGCCCCATCCTCTATCACATCTCTGTCTAAAGCCACTGTCACCCATTGCAAGTCCGCTAACCTCTCCGACGTCCACATAACTCTCCTCGCTGGAACCTCGTCCTTCTCAAGCTTACTGAGGGACTTAGGACAAATGACCGTGGCGCTTTGATCAAGTGTCCCCCGGGAGGTGGCAGAATATTTGAACGCGAGGAGGGGCCTGATTGGGAGACGATAGGTGTACAGGAGATAGTGGTGAAATCGGTTCAAGTTTGACGATTAGTTGATGGACTAGGTAAAGCTTCTATATTTCAATTTACATTTGTTTCGCTAAATGGAATATAGATTTTGGGTTGCATCCCGCTACATTTTTGTTCTAATGCCCAACAAGGTCTTCACGAGATCATGATTCTCTTCAACACTGTCTCTGGTGCCCTTGGAAACGTCAATGTCAACAGACCATTTTCGAGAGAAGCTTTGATGTATTCTTCCTACAAATGACATTAGCGCTTTTGCTCGTGTTACGAAGAATGCACGCTTACCTTGATTCCGTAAGGACCCTCTAACGTTCTCCAGAACATGCGGATGTTGCGCTCACAAATGTAGCCACTCGTGTCCCGCTCCGGAGTCTCCTCAGTCAGTAATCCGGTCACCGCACCAGTCAATGTGCATGTCATCTTTCTCGAGACCGGGTGATTCGAGGATGACGCTGACGGTGTTTGTAGCTATATCTTCGTAGAGATTCGTGCTGTAGAGGTGTATAGATCGGGAGACGGTATGAATAAGAACTGAACAACGCACTTTGGCTCCCGGACGGGGGAGGTACGGGAAATCTCGACTAAAATCTGTGGCCCGAGACTCGGCCTGGCTTGAATGGTGTAGCAAAGCGCAAAACTGGAGGTAGACTGGACATGATCCGTTATGTGCTTGTAGCCGATAGCCTACTTTTGGCTATTTGAATGCCCATTCAATTTGCGATGATTTTGTGGTGAGATGCAAGAATCGTGGATGAATTATTATTGAAAATGTCGCTTGGGGTTTTTTTATTCTGAGGCAGCAAGGCATACAATATCAAGACGTGAATAAACTCTATAAATGCACTTTCTGGAAGTGACTCTCGAGTGCCAGATCCCACTGTAAACAGTGCTGGTTGGCCGATCCTAGTCGCGATCTTCATCGTCGTCACTACCCCCATCTCCGTCACTTGATTCGTCGACGGTTTCCCAGTCCCTTTCTGACTCAGCATCGTCTCTCTCATACTCAGTATCGTCTCCTCCCATCCAATGGCGTGCTCCTCTTCCTTCAGCCTTTGATACCCGGCACCATCTTGTCCAGATACTACCCTACCTTCGTTCTCTAACACACTCCGCCTTATCCTCTCCAAGCGGATAGTCTTTGCAAGTTTCGTCATTATTACCCGTATACATTTGCATGATGCGCATGAAGGATGCACCGAAGCCTAAGCCACCCCCAGAACCGTCTCTATCTGCTTTCACTTTGTCCTTGACGCTTTCGACCTACGTACAGTATTCGTCGTTCTAAGCAACAAAAAAAAAAGAAGAGACTGAAGGTTACGTACCCAGCCATGAATCCTCTGCTCACTTCTTTCTACTCTCGGAAAAAAATGGCTATACATTCCTTTCCAATCAAAGCTAATTTCAAACACATTCCTCCCTAAGTCGAAATTGGACTGGAATTCCAGCAACATGGTATCATTAGCACTGCGCCTGACTTGAATGATTACCCTTGGGCGTTCAAGTGAGGGTTCATTCTTGAACATCAGTCTCAATCGACGGGCGACCTCCTCTCGAAGGTCTTCATCGCATTCATCGCATTTGTATATCGTGCGAGAGGGATTGGCAGGGTCGAGACGAGAAATTTTGAATTCAGAGGCAAGGAATACTTTACCATGTTCAGGCGAGTGCCAGCTGCCTAGGGTATAATAAGGTTGAATTTTTTATGGAAAGGGATATGGAGACCGACTAGCATCGATGTGAATCCATGTCTTTTCCAGATGCTTAGTGACAAAGAGGCGCTCGACTTGACGGCAATTGATCCAGAAGAAAGAGAGGTCTTTCACTCCAGAGGTGAGGAGAATTTCATAGAAAATGTCAGCAGGAGTTTCCTGGGAGTTCTCAGCAGATGAAGAGGAGGTCATGGGAGTCAAAAGGGCAGTGGAACTGGAAGTAACACCATCACCTCTAATCTCTAAAGCTGGGACGTCTCTATGTTCGTACACAGATAAAGGCACGGAATGATTTCATACGTGTTGTCGTCGAAGGTTTTCGAAAGGGCGATCAACCTAGTCCTTCTGTATATATATCCTGATCTCCGGAACTGCTAGCACATATGAGCACGGCTTGCAACATCTAAATGAACCTCATCGTGACAGCTTGGTGTCGGTAACAACCGTCGGTACATCAGAACGTTTATGTCTTGATATCCTCTACAATATTTGTCTGCTGATTTTTCAATAATTCAAGCCGTATTTTACTGTCCTAAAACCTTCTAAAGCCACCTCACGCGTTTACGGCTTCGTCGCTTCGACAGCCTCTGTGACTTTCTTGTCAAAAAGTGCCTTGGCCTCAGTCCACACTCGGGCGGTGTCCCGATCGGGAAACTGTAGCAAGGAGGGAAGAAGGTCCGAGCTGAACTGCTCCGAAGCTTCTCGTGGAAGCAAGGTAGGCAGATGATCAATGGATATCACGGACAGAAGCGGATTCGAAGTCCTGGAGAGATTGAGAGGATCAGGATACCGTATCTCGTGGACGTATCCATGCACAAAGACCGTTTACCCAACGTCAATAGGTACTGTGGGTAAAGAGAACGTTGTGTTGATCGTGTATATGGGAATTGGGTTGAAGGGGTTGGTAGTATCACAACTGACATCGACAACCGTCGACAGCCGACGTTCTTTTCCGGAAGAGATGATTGTTCACAAGTCAAGAACGAGGGAATCTCGGAGCTGAGATAGATACAGTTGACGAAAATGTCGACATCAAGAATCTCAGGGAATGGGCCGCCCTTGGCAGTTTCCTCCATGCCCACTTCAGAATATCGTCCCTGGATGAGAAAGTGAGTCATAGTGACAGAACCGTAGAGATATACATACTCGTCTACACCAACCTTTCTGAAGAGGTCAACCGCCCCGCGTCCACATCGTCCCAAGGCGCCAATGACCAAGGCTTTGACACCCTTGCCACTACCACCCAAAGCAGCCTTGATAGCGCTTATCATCGCACCTTCATTTTCGAAGGGCTTGAAAAGACCAAGCTTTTCGCCCTTTCTCTGCGACGCCACCGCAAGAGCGCCAGCAGCAGCCCCTGCAAAGCCAGCATGATAACCAAAGGCTGCGACCCGACGGCCGTTGGCATCATTCAAGAACTCTAGGTCGTATAGGGCTCCTCCGCCTCTTTGGAAACGCGACAATACATCGATCCACCCTGCTTGTTGCTTGTAACAGTGAGAAAATTGGATATGAGTGTGTGAGAGAGGGTCGGTGGACACAAGGAGCTCTTTCAATCCAATGATTGGTATGTTCACCGGTGCTGATGGCCAAGTATTGTTATCCACCAACTTGCATCCAACACTATCACGGCAATGAGTTACTAGGAAATGAAAATACGATATCTTCACTAACATTTCGTATTCAGAGTCATCGAAAACTCGTTATTCATCTCGTTCGACAAAGATTTCGAAACCGGCATCGATAAGCTTTTTGGATGTGGTTGGCGTCAGTGCAGCTCGGCGTTCGAACTCCTTATTTTCGCAGTGAAGCCAGAAACAAGACTTGGTCATTTTGGATGAGATGACAGACGTTTGAGAAAAGAACTATGACTCGGTTTTAGCTTTCTGTTTTGCCATCCAGTAGCGGGCCGCCAGCTTCCGGTCCCCGATTCCTTCCTTTTGTATGAAGAAATTGGGCTGTATCTGAACTGTATCCACTTTGTTGACTCGGTGACTTTGGGTAACTGATCATTCAAGAATGAACACAAGATGTGAACGCGCGGTGGTCTAGCTCGGCCCCTATCAACCACATCAAAGGCCGTGAGAAACTATCAGGGCAAAAAAAGCCCCGCCGACTGATGATGACTGCGTCAAAAGTCGCTGACCGGCACAACACTGTCGTTTCGTCATTCTTCGGAAAGAATCGGGGATGGCTGGTAGTGATGAGCATATTTTTAAGACCTTAAGGTAGCATCCAAGACAATGAAAGGTAGGGCACTATAGCCAAGTGGTTAAGGCGACAGATTAGAACAACCTAAAGATGAGGTGTTTATCTATCTGTTACTCTCTGAGTGCGCAGGTTCAAATCCTGCTGGTGTCGCTAATGGGGATTGATATCCTTACTTTTTTGAATGCTCATTTTCCCCGTTGCTTAGTAGGCTAGCGCACGAAAACCCCCAGGGGGTCTTGATACGTTACTTATCTATTATGTGAAAAATCACACGACTGGCGCGCGGCAATGGCAGATTCATTTTTCAGCATCTGTGTTCGTGTTTTTACACATTTTCTTTATCTCGGGGACTGTAATTCATCTGGAAATATCGGATATCTATGAATGTGCTCTGTAGATAGAATGTACATGCAATCGTAATAATTATTCTTCTTAACTAGCAGTCCCATGATGGGTAAGTTACCTCGACGAAAATCGCGAGGGGACGTAACTGAGCGGTAATTATGATTAATTAACCTCAGTGTATCACTAGGTTTCATGTGCTCAAGCAAACAACGTCCGTCGCCTGAATGACCCAGTAACCAGGCCCTGATATAATAAAGGTAGTCTCCCCTAGGCAGACTCTCAAATCAAGACAGTTGAGATTTGAAATATAGAAAAGGCCACAGTGTGGTACATTACTTTGGCCAGTGGCTGTGCCGTATACTTCTTTTTACCATCTTCACTACCACTCAGGCGCACTCAATGGTTACTCTGTACCACGATCTTTCTCAGTCATCACCGTCTCAGTTCTCATGCTTCATGCGGATCGTTGGACTATCTACCATCGCATGTAGAACATGAAAAATTGCAGAGCACAGTTCCGCGTTACCTCTCTAGCCAGGAAGGATGGGAATACTATAGGTCCACTGCCCTTTGATCCTCGCTGTACGAAGTCATCTAGGCTCGTCCGGCTCATGTGAATAATTCCAAAGGAGTGCGGCGGGGTAGGAGAAGATGCGTGTCAGCGGACGAGATTTGGACAAACGACATCCCCAGAAACAAGATACTGGATTTCTGCTATGACCAGTGTAGAATGATTTCCTCTCGATCAGTACATGCATCCTCCCGGCTCAAACCTTTCGTCAAATATTCTCCTTCGCATGTGACCTTGTGGCTTCGCTTCGACTCCTAGAGATGCGGTGAAGTTTTATTGCTTCGATTTCTAGGCCCATTCAAACAAGAGAAGGGATAGAAGCTCTGGTGTTTATTTCCCTTCACTAGTCGATCGGACGTCTATTCTCTACGATGTGGGAACTCGACAAAGATGGTTCGTATTACTCGTCTCTCCGCAAGTCCATTGTAGCTTAGTGCACCAGGTTCGACTCCTGGAGGCGAAGTATGATGGTGCCGTGATCTTTCCCTCTTTTGGTTGTAACCGAGCAGTGGTCTTCGCGGATACAACAGTCCGAATGATTTTTTTGCGCTCTACCTTGGTTTTTTTTATCGAGTCCTTGAGGTAAATTTACGACTGTCCATATGCTCCTTTGTAACCTGCGGCTAACGTATCGATCAATGCAAGCTGCAATGACTCTCTGACTTGGGATGCGATGGCGGGACAAGACGCATCTGGAATTTGTTTTTGATTCCGTCTCTGTACGTTGAAGTTTAACGTTTAGGCCTAGGCTTGGAGATGTTTTCTACTAGAGACGCGCGTCCCGTCCTTCGGTTATTCTTATTCTTCCCGCACATTCGCAATAGTATCACGCTCTCGTACTTCCTCGCCCATTTTCTCGTGGCCCCATTGCCTTGATAGTTTGCTCCAGAAGTAAACATTCCATAGTCGATGCACACGCTCTACTTGTATCATGGAACCAAGCAGAGTAATTTTTTTCCTGCACCGTACTTTGTTTTGGGCTCTTTTTGTTCATAAGCTGCCATCATTGCCATTGGTGTTCATCGTGAAGGGACCCTACAGCCAAGTGGTCAAGGCCGGGTGTACTACAGGTTCGAATTCTGCTAGTGTCCTCTTATCTCTATAGTGTTTCTTTTTTATGCATTAGATTCTTTTGAATGCACATTTCAATCTTCCTTTGCTAGCGCTGCTCATCCCGGAACAATCTTTGGAATAAAAACACCGAAGCAATTTGTCACCCTTTAGTAGTGACTGTGCCGTATCTTTCTTCCAACCGACAGCCATTATGCACCGCGACATTTTTCGTCTCACATACCGTGGTTTATTCTAATCGTTTGACTATGATCTCTTTCGAACATGCGGCAAGGATATGTAGCAATGCGGTCCTGCAAGAAGACTGGATCACGACTACTACTGTTTAACGAGACTGAGCTGAAGTTCTGATAACGGCTCCTACTCACATATAGAGGAGGTCAGCACTGGGAAAATGAGGATTATATGAGCATCTGTGGCTCTCGACGACGGAGATGACGTATGGATATTCCTGGTGCGTTACTGCTTGTTATTCACGATCAGCCCTTGTTTTTCTTTTAGATCTGGCCTTTGGCTTGTTGGTGCGCAAGAGGGCTGCGAATGACGCGATGTTAGGTCTTTCCCTATCGACTTACGATCCATCCGGAAAGACAGCATGCAAAGTATCCGATATTTGGTTCGTGCGCACGTGCTGTCCCCGCTGTACTGGTTACCTCCAAAGGCAACAAAATTCCTGTGCTGAGACTCATAGAGGACGCGCCAAACACCAACACTCTAACCATACATAATCGTTTGACAGAAATGAGTGACCTTTGGTTTGGTAGGAGCACAGGCGCGGATGGATGAGACACGCATTCCAACATATTACTGGCTAGGGAGCAGAAAGAAGAAATTCCCAGCTTGAAGGTTTATCGACAACGCCGAGAAAAGTGGTATCGACGGGGCTGCAGTTCTTCCAGCTGAACAACGACTGTAGGTTAGATCTGTCGCAAACGCGATTCCTAACACGGTTCACAAGACTTAATACCGCGAAAGGTCCTTGAGAATGAAGCAGAAGGTAATAGAACATGAACGAAAATTCCAACGCGACCGACCCCCTGGCCGAAGCCGGCACAGCCATGTGAGCTGGAGATCTCGCACAATATCCGCCTCATCTTGCACCTTGCGATGACAGTTAGTCAGCGTATTCGGAAGCAAAGAGCCCAAATATGAATGGGAACTAGACTTCATCCTGTATATCTTGCGGTATTGAGGCTGTTGAATGGATGTATCAGGCGCCACTTACATTTTTGAGGCCACGCTTATACTCATGCACGCTTCAGGTCTGTGCTGTCCACGAAGGCAACTCTTTATTGGAATGTACTGGGGTTCAGTATTTTCTGGTGATTTTTTGTAGTCTCCGGCTAGCGCAAGAATGATCCAATATCCTGGACGCGCATTCATCTCGACTGAAGCTTAGTCCGTAGGTCGCCCTTCTGTTCATTTATTCGTCTACCCTGTCAGCCGAATCCAGAAATGCTCGAAGGAAGGTGCAGCATCCGTTGATCGGCTCACCTCCCAAAGGAATCGCGTAAAAGACCATGAATAATCACTACAAAGTCACAGTTGCTGACGATACTGGCGGAACGCGGGCAATGCTCACGCAACCATCCACCGCCTTCGCCGGGATATAGTCTTGCTGAATAATACCAAAGATGCTGCAATAAAAGAGACCGTGTACAGACTCGACTGTTCAGTATTCCCCGAACATGGCAGATCTCAATGTGGCTACGGTGATGTCGCTGTCTGGACGAGTAGGTCTCGTTACAGGCGGAGGCACAGGGATGTAAGCCTTATGATCCTCAATCGTAACTCACGGTTGACTCTTTGACAGAGGATTTATGATTGCTAAAGCTTTCGCTGCAAATGGAGCGAAAGTATACATCACTGGGCGAAGGATGGACGTGCTGGAGCAAGCTGCAGCGTCAGTCACAGGCATCCCAGGATCCATTGTCCCGTTAGTGATCCTCTGTGTTGTAAGATATTCATTGTTAACGCTTACGCAGACTCCAGATGGATGTGACAAATGAAGAAAGCGTCAGGGCTGGTGCAAAACACATCGAAGAAATCGATAGCAAGCTCGATATCCTTGTCAACAAGTCTGTCTATAGTATCCTCAATTCCCTTCTTTCATATGCTAATCTTTTTGCAGTGCTGGCTTCGGTACCTCCCGCCGCGACCCAGACTTTTCCGCAAAGAAGCTCGCAGCATCAGATCCCTTTGAGCCCGAGACGGTACAGGATTGGATGGATATCTTCGCGCTCAACACCATCGCTCCGTTCTTCGCCGTCCGCGCCTTCCAATCCCTCCTCATCAAAGGAGCGCATTCCCGTCCTCAAGGCACGTCGAGCGTTATCAACATCAGCAGCGCGGCGGCAAAGCTGCACACACCAGTGAATATAAGCTGTGTATGTGCTATCGTTTTCTTCAAAATTTTGACTCGGTACTAACTTGGCTTACTAGTTGGCATACGGCCCAACGAAAGCTGCTTTGGGAAAGCTTACATTCGTTCTGGGGACGAGCTTTGCTAGAAGAGGTATCCCGATTCGAGTGAACACGCTGGAGCCTGGCATCTTTCCATCGGAGATGGCAACTGCTGAGGTTTTGGAAATGTCGAGTTCGGAGTCACCACTTGGGTTTGGGGCTCCGATACCTGCGAAGAGGCCAGGGACGTGAGTGTGTTCAGTATTTGGATGAGGTTGGATATTGATTCGACTCTTGCTAGTGATGCGGAGATGGGTATGACGGCGATCTACTTGGCAGTATCTGACTATACGAATGGAGCAGTTTTGAGGGTTGATGGTGGACTAGCGTTGGTCGTTCCTTGAAGAATTGATCATCTAATGAAATTGGATAAGTTCTGTCTGGGAGAAACATACCGATGTCGTTGTGAGATCATAATGATTAGGCCTAGTCACGGACTCCAAATCAGATGGCGATGATGCCTTTTGTGTTTGAACGAAAGGCTGTTATTCATTTTTCACGGCTAGTCTTGTTTTAGTGCTTCCATGTAAGCAGATCCATTCTTAACCCAGTCCCTAATGGTCAGGTTATTTAGGATCAGCAAAGCTGTGGAGTCTCTTCTTATCAAATTTAATGCATCCTAATTTTCCGTGCTGTTCCATATCTTCACCGTCAAGTCGGTGCTTTCTCTGCCCAATCCATGCTCTTTTTGAGGTGGTCA